CCCCCCCCCCTTTTCTTTCTGTACAGAGGACCTGCCCAGGACCCTCCTCATCCTGAACTTATCCGGAAATGGATGCACCAGCCAAAACGGCTACAGGTGAGACGACCCGAAATCCCCCCTCCTGTGAGTCTCAGGGACGAGAGCGAAAGCCCAGCTCCCGGGAGGTAACTAAATACCTAAGGACCTCCTCCTCCTCCTCCCCTTACCTGAGTGCCTCCAGAGTAGGCTGGGGGTTGCTAAGCAGGGTCGAGCGAGTTCTGTGCCTTAAATGGGAGACCCGCCAGGACACACGTCAGCATCACCAGTGGGATGTTTAACGAGGCCCAGACCCACAAAGCTCTTTAGCCTCCCGGCAGAGAAGGGCTGGAGCCTACGAGCCTTGGAGCACCGGGGCCACACTGCCCGGAATTGAGGGCAGGACTGGGTCCCCAAAGGGCTCCCCCTGGACTGAGACCAGGGCCACGGCAGGTAACAAGCAAGCCCGGGGACTGAGTGGCTCCTTCCTTCCATGAGCAAAAATGCAAATCGCCTCAATGCCCTGGGCTCCCCCTGCCCGGCGCGTGTATTTACAGCCCCTAGTTATGCAGGTCGGACTGAACCCTGCCCCCTTTGGCTCGGGCCAGCTGCGCTCATCTGCTGCTCAGCCTTCCAGCAGGAGGAGCACTGTAACGGGTTCCGTGCCCCCCGGGGTGGCTACTGAGGTCTGCCCTACAGCGGCTCTCCCGTGGTCAGGGCTGGGGAGGTGGCACGTTGCTGCCCATGTCCGTTCTGACCCAGGGCCCCTTGGTGGTGGCCGGGGGGCTCTCTCCCCCTCTGACCCTCTCCTGACCATTCCAGACCCATGGCGTAGTTTGCAGGGTCCCAGGATGATAAGTGGGCATCCTCCCCGTCATGCCACCAGGAGTAATTCCCTTCTGCCTCCCCAGCTACAATTTGTGGCATCGTCACTTCCTGCCCAGGCCTGTTGTGTGGAGTTGTCCCAGCTCATAAGAACATAAGAACGGCCGGACTGGGTCAGACCAAAGGTCCATCTAGCCCAGTGTCCTGTCTGCCGACAGTGGCCAGCACCAGGTGCCCCAGAGAGGGTGGACCGAAGACAATGATCAAGCGATTTGTCTCCTGCCATCCCTCTCCAGCCTCTGACAAACAGAGGCCAGGGACACCGTTTCTATCCCCTGGCTAATAGCCTTTTATGGACCTAACCTCCAACAAGGCTCACTGCCTTGTTCCACCCCAGAGGCAGCTGCATTGCAGCCTCGCTTCGTGTGAGCCGGCGAGCGGTGGTCAGAGCGCTCCGGGGTCCTCGGTGACACTGGGGTTTGGTCTTTCCAGAGAGCTGGTGCTCAGGGCCTTGCCCCGTCTCCTGAAGCTGGACGCCCAACTCCTCCCCAGCCAGAGAGACCCTGAGCCGACAGAGGAGGAGCCCGCGTCTGAGGACAGCGCCAGTGAGGAAGAAGCGGATTTCCCTGAGCTGACGGGGCCTTTCTGCGCAGACAAAGGTGACCAAGCAGCTGCTGGCAGCCACTTCAGACCACATGGGATTCTGCTCTTGGTACACGGGGGTGAACCCAGACAAAGTCACCTGCCCCTCGATTGCACAGGCCTGGGCTACAGGCGTGACTATTGGTGCTGGTGAGATGGGTGATCAGACAGGCCGCCCCTTCCAAAGACGGGGAGACCCCTCCGCCCTGCAGCAGTGCCCAGGAGCCTGGCTGAGGGCTTGACCCCCCCATTCTCCCGCCAGGGGGGTGCTGTGAGGAAACCCACAGGAGCCGGTTAACTCCTGCTGGTGGCGCTAACTCTTCCCCCCCCCCCCCCAGCGTTCTCTGGGGCTCTCCACACA